GGTGACTCTTACCTGCAGATTCTCCGTCTCCACTCCGCTCTGCACTGCTCACTTACGTCCTGCGGAGCACTTGTGCAGTCATGTTAATCAATGAGAACTATTCCACATCTACCGCTACTCCTCTAAACGTCACCACCCACATACGTCTTCACCGATCTGCAATTGCAATCGCCTCAAACAAGAAAAAGAACCTAAAGATATGGTTTTTCAAAGTGAAATAGGGTAACAACAAGTCAGTAACTTCTTATGTGAGCATACATTTTATATATTCCCAAAAAAGAAGGCAGATTGAATGGGTATACATTATTTGTAATTCAGCATACCAGGAAGAAGATATTTAATTTCAATCAAAATATTTAGTTTATGCTGAAAGGCTTAAAAGTTTTATCAAATCAGGTCATTACAGCTTTCAAGAACTCATCTCACATCTTCAAAAGCAACTTCTTATCACAGGAATGGATGAAGAGATGCTGATTTTGGGAGTAGAGAACAAACATGGCTCAGACAAACCAATTTGTATGATCCTAGTTATCCTAATTCCAATGATCCAGATGAAAAAGAAATGTCTGGGCAGAAACTGCACATATTCTGGATGCTGATGGGGATTTTTTTACTATGTCATATTAGATTAAGCATTCATTACATCTTATTGTGTACATATGAATTAACAAATAATAATAATACCCTGCATGCTCTTCACGAGCTCCAAGGTTCTCAAAGCACAGCAAGATGTAAGGAACCACCTGTTGGCGTAGCTTTGCGCAGGCGGTCTGGAACGGAGCACAGCAGAGCGGTTATTTAGGGTGTGGGATTTTGGGGTTAGAGGGATTTCTACCAGATTTTATCTAGCAATTTTAAAGGTGCCATAATTTATATTCCTTGCTAACCTTCAGCTGGAGATGTTAAAAAAATTTGGAAAAAAAATTATTTGCTTCCACTTATTATACACCTCACGTGTGTATCTTTATATTTGCCTGTCAGATCGAATAAATATGCATTCATTTATGTCTAATAATATTTTTATACATTTTAAAGGGAGTTAAATGCTCTAGATCTTTTCCTGTATTCAGAAATTTGAGGTACCTGTGAAAGTTGGCAGAGCTTCATGAACTTTCTAATTAATTCCTCTTAATTCGATCAAGATAATCTATGAATAGCCATTATTTTCATATGAAAAAGCATAACTGGTGAGTTAGGAGTCAAAGAGTATTTTGTCTAAAAATTAAGTGTACTTTAATGGATCACTTGTGGTTCAGTGTAGGTTTAGTGTAGAGCTGAGTAACAAAGTATTAGGTCACTGGTTCATGCTTGTGACCTAATTCATGCTTGTGTTTGTTGTGACTTCATGTAATCTGTCCTATTCCAAACAGCATTATTAAATAAGCAGGTAGTTCTTTGAGGTTTTTTTGTTTTTTGTTTTTTTGTTATGGAACTGCAATATAATGCATTCTTTTTGTATCATTCACATTTGTCTAAAAAACTGATCTATATAAATATGTTGTAAACTCATTTAGAGTGGTTTGTTTCAAGTCTTTAGCTCTTCATAAAGTGGGACATTAACTCATCTGTTCATAGGACTGACTTTTAAAATGTTTATTCAGGATTCCTACTCCGTTTGGACAAATTTTGAAAAATGTGGAATTTTATTAGGTAATTTTCCAAAACTATGAAAAGTTGAAGACTTCTTTGAGAGTTGTGAGGGGTTGCCTAAAGGTAAAATCGTATTCACTCAATAATCAATAATGACTTGATAATTACTGACTATGAAAACCTAAAACTGGACTAAATGGTAATTTTAGATACCATACCACTGTAGGTCCACTTAGCCATCTATCAGGAAACTTAAACCATATCACGCTTCCTTCTGCTAACCAGCTTCATCGAGATGCTGATTTTAGTTTCCAGTATGGATTGAGACCAGCCCACACTACCTAAAATAAAATGTAATGTAAATTCCCTTAACACTTCACATGTATGTGTGTGTGTGTGTGTGTGTGTGTGTGTGTGTGTGTGTATGTATGTATATATATATATATATATATATATATATATATATATAGATATATAGATGAGATGTATATAGTTTAACAGGAAGGTTACTCTACTTTATGTTAGTTTAAGTGCAATTAGAGGGAGAGGGGGTAGGAATAATAAGTTTTACTTCTTTCCGACAATTTACATGAATCAATGTCACTTCTCTGGCAAAGTTTATTTGGTAGCGGGTTTTGTTGCTATTTATGTTCATGTAAATATAGTTAATTTTGAAATTGGTGTTTGGTTGATGTTAACTGGTCTTTTTTGTGATTCATTTATTATTGCTTGTCATATTTTCTGGCTGAAATTGTCAGAAATAAATTCCTATTCGTTATCCCTTTTTTGTCCCACAATGGGAAAATTCACTCTCTGCATTTTAACCCATCCCCTTGGGTATCAGTGGGCTGCCATTGTGTGGCGCCCGGGGAGCAGTGTGGGATTAGGGGTTTTGCTCAGGAACTCAGTGTGGAGGTTGTGGGGGTCGAACCCAGGTACTTGCAACCTTGTCAGAGCTCAAGCACACTACTCTAACCACTAGACCCACACTCACCTAAACCTGGAAATACCAGCGCCATATTTAAAAATAATTGTATTAGTGTGCAGGATTGACTGGCAAACAGGCCTGACCCCACCCCAATAGAGAACCAATGAAGTTCTTGGAAGATTAGAGAAAGCCCAGAATCAGGAATGCAGACAACCTGAAGGTTGCTGTTCAAGCATTTCTGTCTACTTAAACATCTCAACAGAGCTGCTGGCTGATTGTCATTATAGAATGCCCATAGATGTAGTAGTTAAAAAAAAAAAAAAATCACTGAGTGCATATACTGTATTTGGATATACTTTTCTGCTGGCCGGCAGTGCATTGAAAATTTTTTAATTGGTTTTCTGAGGAACTGAGGTCAGGGTTTCCATTAGCTCTAGGCCATGGTAATCAGAATTAGCCAAAAATAATGCTAAAACCATTTAATGTTGTGTCAAATGAATCTGCATAATTTTAATTACTGAAACGATCTTCTTAGTAATATTGTAATTTATTTGTCGCACTTTAGGTCAGGCTCTGCATTGTGATGTTTTGGATAACAAAAGTTTTACTTCATAAAATGTTATTTCATTGGAGGATTAGTTTATGGACAAGTATGACTGTAAGCAGAAATTGTGAAAAGGCGTGAAAAACATAATCACTACGGTCAAATAGGTGATTACATACTACAGTAAAATAATACCACTAAAAGGAAAAGAAAAAAAGAGGGAAGAAATGAGCAAACCTGAGCAGAACTATAGCAAAAACATCCCTCTGAAAGTAGAGCTTTAGTTAGAGGACAGATCTATTGCACTGGGAAATTTTTGGCTCTTTGCAGTTAGCCAACGTCTCACCTTTAACCCTGTTCACAGACACTGGCATGCTGCCACTGCCTTTGGCTTATTAATGGCTTCCCTGCATGCCCCCAAATACCTGGGCTGTCAGCACCAAAGGACATTGAAAGGGGAGGATTATAAAGGAGGGGCGGGGGGTGAATCTGTATGTGTGCATCTGCTATTTTATTTGAGCTTAAAATTCCTGGTGTGAGTGCAGCTCACCTTGCGTCTTGTACTATCGAGAGCATACACATTACAAAGCACCTCCCACCTGTCCCAGGCCGTGGCCATTTTGAGCGTATTAGTATTCATGTGCAGGAGTGGCCGGTGATCTCTCAGGGAAGTGACAGTCAGAATGGGCTGCCTGGAACACTCTGTCATTCAGCTCCAGTCAGGGCCTGTCCAATTGATCCTGCCCAGCTGTCAAAGCCAATGAGAGACGCTAGACTAAGGAGCAGCACGGATGGTTTTTGCTGCAAAAAGACTGTGGATGATGGATAAAGAGGAAATACAGTTTGTGTTATAAGCTACCTAGAAAGAAACAGTCTTTAAGCACTTCTTGGACAGTCTATTCAGCAATGACCATTTTTAAAATTCTGTTTATTTTCGGATCTTTTCTCAGGAAGGTTAACAAAGATGAGAGTTTGATGTCAGAGAGGAGAGCAAAAAGTCCTTCTTCCTTCCAGTAATCTCACCAAATATCGAGTATACGTCAACCCCAAAGATCATAGCTATGAAGCCTTACTGATGATAAAATAAATTAAGATCTGCTGTTTCTATTCCCCAGGAGTTGTTACATCAGCAGCCTGTGTGTTAGCAGTTTGTTTCGCCAACTTTCTGCACCGTTCAGCAGAAAAAGTAGGAAGGTAGTGAAGCATAAAGCAGCCAAGTCCCTAGAAATTGTTGATCTCCACTAATTCATTAAAATTAGCTAATGCTTGTTGTAGTGGCAATTGTTTGTCAAACCAAACATCCAATAAAATTCCAATAAGCCACTATAGGCACTGGGGTCACGTTTTCTTGACGCAGGCAAAAGAAGTGGAAGTCCAAACTTGTAGATGTTCAGTTGATTTATTTCCTATATTTTGTCACATTATAGAGTTCAAACTTTCCTTGCCCTGTTACCTCTCTTGCACTGGTAAAAACCCATAGGCCCCTAACCCAAATGCCTGCTGGTCCTTACCAGGCTCCTACAATTATAGAAAGTGGACCGCCCACATTTCTTCCTGTTTTACATAAAATAAAGAAAAAAATAATAATAATAAAACAACAAAAAATAGATGCACAAAAATGCAACAATTAACCTATAAATTAAGTCTGTAAATAATACAAAAAATATATAAGTTTAGGAATTAACACAATTCAAATGGATAAAGAAATAAAGAATAAATAGCTCCAACACTCCGGCCCCTAATTGTGAATACTGTCACAATTACAAATGAAGAAAAAGGAGCTATTCCCTCAAACATGTCCTTAATTCTTCAGGTTGATGCTTCCAGTAGCAAAACAAGTTTGGTCACGGGTCTTTCGAGAACGCTGGTCTTTGTTTGTAATCGCACAGAGCGCACCAAGCCTTTTACATCCTGGTTTACGCTCAGGACCTTGGCCATCATCCATGTTCCTCTTGGAGCTGTAGAGTCTGCAATTAAGACAACATCTCCAGGAGTGAGACATCGTTTAGTTCTTGTCCATTTTTGTCTTTCCTGCATCAGAGGTAAGTACTCAGAAAGCCATCTTTTCCAGAACAGCTCTGCCATGTATTGCACCTGTTTCCACCTTTTCCTGACAAAAAGATCCTTTTGATTGAACAATCCTGGTGGCAAAACTGGTTTGGTTTTTAACAACAACAAATGGTTGGGTGTTAGTGCCTCAAGATCATTTGAGTCATCGGAAACTTTAGTGATGGGTCTGTCGTTTAATATGGCTTCAACTTCACAAAAAATAGTTTGAAGCCCTTCATCATCCAAAACTTGCTCTTTAAGAACTGAAACCAAAATACTTCTTATGGAACGAATCAGACGTTCCCAAACTCCACCTTGGTGAGAGGCTGCTGGGATGTTAAAGTTCCATTTAATTCCATCCTGCACAAAAGCATTTTGAATTTTAGCATGATTCAGTTCAGCTAAACTCTCTTTCAGCTCTCGATTTGCACCAACAAAATTTGTGGCATTGTCAGATCTGATGGTGGAAACTGGGCCTCTTCTACAGATAAACCTGCGGACTGCATTTATACAGGAATCTGTATCGAGGGTGTAGGCCATTTCCAGATGCACTGCACGGCTGGTGAAACAAGTGAACAGAACTCCATACCTTTTCAGGAGGCTTCGTCCTCTTTTAACACTTACAGGACCAAAGTAATCCACTCCAACATTTGTAAAAGGAGCGGTGGCTGGCAGGACTCTTTCTTCTGGCAGATCTGCCATCTTTTGTTCAATAAACTTTCCTCTGTTACACCTGCAAACAACACAGTGAGAAATGATTTTTCTGGCAGCTGAATTAGCATTTATTATCCAGTATTTTTGTCTTAATCTTGACAGCATATGAGCTCTTCCTGCATGTCCCAACTGTTGATGAATATGGCGTAAAATCAGTGTAGACACATGCATATCCTTTGTCAAAATTGCGGGATGCTTTGTTTCGACAGGCATGGCTGATTTATTCAACCTGCCACCCACTCTGAGGACCCCAGCATCCAATACTGGGTCAAGTTTGTATAAAGAACTTCTTTTAGAGACTGCTTTAAGGCCACTGGTGATTAAAGCCAGTTCAGTTGTAAATTTCTGTTGTTGTGCAAACTGAATAATGGCTAGTTCTGCCTTGGCCAAGTCTTCAGGAGTCAGATGTTCTTTCTTCAGAGTTGTCTTGAATCTTTCAATCTCCTTGTCTATGGCTTTGTTTTGATTTTCTGGTTCTTTTTTATTTAGGTCTGCAGCAGCAAACTCCTTCCTTTTCTGTTGCAACAGCATCAGAATGTTTTTCAGCTTTAAAAACCAGGCAACAGAGGTTTTAAGCTTTGTCCAAGATGAAAAATAATGAATCAGATAGCTTGTAGGATTTTGTGACTCCTTCACAAGAACACTCACGGCTAGGTCCCTTTTGACCTCTGGGTCATCTGCAGGAATTGCATGGTGATCCACATCCAGTTTAGGCCATTCCTCTTCTGATCTGTGGAGAAATTCAGGCCCATTTATCCATCTCCTGCATTTAATGAACTCCTCAGCTCTCATGCCTCTGGATGCATTATCTGCAGGATTTTCCTTGGAGGAAACATATCTCCACTGATTCACATCTGTTGCTTCTCGGATGACAGAGATTCTGTTTGCAACAAAGGTGTGAAATCTTCTGGTTTCACTGGAGATGTATTTTAGTACTGTTGTACTATCAGTCCAGAAAACAGGTTTTTCCAACTGTATTTTCAGCTCCTTTTGCAGCAGTTTATTGACTCGGACAGCAAGAACAGCAGCGGTCAGTTCCAACCTGGGAATTGTTTGCTTCATAGGAGCAACTCTTGCTTTTCCTAGAATGAAAGCAACATGTGAGATGTTATTCTTTTCCAGTTTTAAATATGACACTGTTCCATAGCCGTCTTGACTTGCGTCAGAGAAATGATGAAGTTGTGCTTTGTCTGGTTTCCTGATGCAGCTTGGTTTGATGCAACGATCCACCTTAAAACTGGAGATCAGCTGGAGGTCCTCCAGCCAGTCGAGCCACTTCCTACAAAGAGAATGGGGAATAACTTCATCCCACTTCAAGTTTTGTCGACAAAGTTCTTGTAGCAGCAGTTTAGCTGGCATACTGAAGGGAGCTAGGATTCCCAAGGGATCATATAGTGAACTAACCACAGACAAAATGCCCCTTCTGGTCTGTGGGCGGTCCTGCACAGAGGTTCTGAACTTGAACTCATCTGTTTCGATGCTCCACTGTAAACCCAGTACTCTCTCGACCGGAAGTTCATCTGTGTCCAAATCCAGATTCTTAATTTCTTTTGCTCTCCTTTCTTCTGGAATGGACATGAGCACTGTGCGACTGTTGCTGACCCATTTTGAGAGCATGAATCCTCCCTTAGAGCAGAGGTCCGTCAGCCTCTTCACCATGTGAATTGCATCTTCTTCTGTGGGAACAGATTTTAAACAGTCATCCACATAAAAGTTATTTTTGATAGTATCAACCACTTCAGCTGGAAACTGTTGTGCGTTATCATCAGCAGTTCTTTGCAGAGCATAATTAGCACAGCTGGGTGAAGACACTGCTCCAAACAAATGAACCAACATCCTGAACTCCTGTGCAGGTTTTGATGTGTCACCATGATGCCACCACAGGAAACGGAGGAAGTTGACATGTTTTTCAGAGACATAAACTTGGTGAAACATGGCATTAATGTCGGCCATTAGTGCAACAGGCTCTTTTCTAAATCTGATGAGAACTCCAACCAGAGAGTTTGTGAGGTCAGGTCCCTGTAAAAGCTGACTGTTCAGTGATGCTCCTTTATAGGTTGATCCACAATCAAATACAACTCTCAACTTTCCTTTTGTGGGATGATGCACTCCATGATGAGGAATGTACCACAGTTGTCCATTACCTTTCTGTAGCTCCTCTGCTGGTACAGCCTCAGCATGTCCTTGCTGCAGCATGTTGTATACACATGCGGTGTATTCCTCCTTGTACTCAGCATCCTTTTCAAATCTCCTTCTGAGGCTCTGGAGGCGCTGCTCTGCAACACAGATGTTATTTGGAAAGCAGGGGCTTTCATTCCTGAAAGGCAAGTCAATATTATAATGACCTTTAATAAGTTTTGTAGAATTATTGACAATGTTCATGAAATGCAAATCCTCTCTGGACATTTCAATTTTTTCCTCTGATGATCTTTCGTTAAAATCATGATTGTACTGTTTGATCAGCATTTCTTCAAGATGCTCAACAGAGATCCTGTTGGCTGTCACAGCAGTGCAGACATTTCTATTTTTGCTGTGGCTTCTAGTGCGCAGGGGACCATTTATGACCCAGCCAACTTTAGTTTTTACAGCATAAGGCCCACCATCTACACTGTTGATCACCTCCCAGGGCTCTAAAACATTTGAAGCATCAGTTCCTATCAGTAGTTCCACATCTGCATTGATGCTATGAAGCTTAACAGGTTTAAGATGAGGCCACTGATCAATGTCCTTTTGCTGGGGAATATTCAATGTTGAAACTGGCATGGTACTTTGAGTCAAAACATCTGGTAGCTCTATGAAATCATTTGTTTCCAATTCGGAGATTTCCAAACCAGACAAAATTTGTACATTAACAATCTTATTTTGACTCATTGTTCTCAGCATAATATTTGTTCTTTTGCCCTTTAAGTTCAGACTTTTTGCCAGAGTTTCTGTACAGAACGTACCTGAACTTCCTGGATCAAGAAATGCATAAGTTTGCACAACTTTGTTGCTCTTTTGACTTTTAACTTTAACTGCAACAATAGAAAAAACAGCATTATCATCATGACCGGCCCCAATATGCCCACATGTCTGGGTGGTTGCAGTTGAGAAGTTGACATGAGACCTTGTTGTCTGTTGGATTTGTTCTGAAGAGGCTCCTGGCTCCTTTTGCTCTATGTGAAGAACCCCTGGATGCTTTTGGTGACACACATTGCAATCCAAACGACTCCTGCAGTCTTTGCTTGTGTGACCAACTTTCAGACAACTGAAACAAATCCCCTTTTGTTTAATGAAAGTCAACTTGTCCCGATGCATTTTAGCTTTAAACTGCACACAGTTTTCCAGTAGATGATTTCTTTGTAAACAAAACAAGCAGCTGTGAAGAACAGTAGACTTGGTCCTGTTTTCAGTTGAGTGAGTTCTGGCTTCTGGAATTGTGCTGACATTAGTGGCAAAACTGCTTCCCTTTTTTCTTTGCTTGCTGTAACTTGGAACTTTGGAGTTGTTCCCTGTTGGTGGGTCTTGGATATTGCCAAACACTGGATCTGATGCTACTTTTACTTCCTTTGTTATGAAAGCAACCAGATCAGTAAACAATGCTCGGTGACCAGTTTGCTCCTGTAGCTCATAAGCAGTAACTCTCCATTTTTCCCTCAGTTTATATGGAAGTTTCAGGACAATTGTTCTCATATTTGAAGGTAAATCCAACTCCTTCATGTAAACAATTTGTTGTGTCAGATTTGAACAACCTTGAAGAAAAAGAGAGAATGATTGTAGACTTTTCACATCATCCCCTTTTATTGGTGTCCAACTCATAATCTTCTCCATATACGCAGAAGCGATTTTATTTTCATTTCCAAAATGTTCTTCAAGAAGATATTTGGCTTTGGAATAACCTTCCTCAGAAGCTAAGTGTTGACAACTATGCACGAGATCTTTAGGCTGCCCCCTGGTGAACTGCTCTAGGAAGTGCAAACAGTCGCTGCAGTTGTCAGTTTTAGCCTCCACTCCGTTCTCAAAGGCATTCATAAATGATCTGTACTGTAGGGGGTCCCCATCAAACACAGGGATGTTTCTGGATGGGAGAACAGACGATAAGTTTTGTTTTACTAGTAAGGCTGCAATGTCATTTTGTCTTTGCATGATGTTCACAATATCATTCTGACAGTTCTCAGTCAAAGGAGGAGATTGAAATTGCGTCTGCTCTGTTGCTTGAGTTGAAGAATCAACTTTAACTCTCATCTGATCCATTTGAAGTTGTCTCTCTCCTTGTTTAAGTCTGACAACAGGAAAGTTGGATGAAGACTTTTCTTTTTCTTTCAGAACAAACTCATCAGCGAGAGGATTTAGCAGGGGCGTGTGCTTTCCTTGGGCTCTTTCAAAATAAGAGTTCATTCCATCAGATTGTTTAGAACCAGCAACTGAATTTATTTTTAATACATTAAGTTTTGCGTTAGTTGCTGCCAACTCTGTTTCCAGGTCTAACTTTTCCTTTTCTTTTCTCAGGTTTTCCTCTTGAGCTTCGATCAGATGTTTTCTGTCCAACGCGGCGAGTCTCTCCATCAGCGCTGCCTTTTCAGCCGCAGCTTTAATGCGTGCAGAAGAGGTGGATGAAGCCCGAGACTGCTGTGAAGATGTTTTTGAACGTGGCTTTATGCTTGTAATATTAGAAACACTGTCTTCAGGATTTATTTCATCAGGATCTTCAACAACCTGATCATCAACATAGTTTTTCTGTTCCATATATGGATTTCCTGCTACTGTCAACCAAACCTTTACATTGTCCACAAAATCAGAGAAAGTCGTCACCTTAGACTGAAAATACACAGTTTGTCTTTTTACTACTTCTTCTGGCAACGGCAAACCTAAAAGTGATTCATGTAAATCAGTTGCGTCTTGATAGCATTTAATAAACTTTGCAAAGTCAGAAGCCACTTTCTTAACATTTTCTTGTGAGGTCATTAATGCAGAGATTTTCTCCATACATTTTGAAGCTTGTTTACACTTTAAACTTCGTTTTTCTTGACATGTTTTTATATAAAACTCCAAACCCTTTTGTGTAAATTTGATGGTTCTTTTGTTTTGTGACGTCTGGGTGTCATCCTCTTTGCTCTTTACATCAGACATTTTTGCAGATTCTTTGAATTATTTCAAACATTTAAAGCATCATAGTCCATGAATAATCCACAAGGAAAAGCACAAACGTATCACTTTGTTTAAAGAGATTGATTCTTGTGAACAAACATTTCCATGATGGGCGTCGGCTCACGGCTTGATCCAATTACGCGTCAATTTGTCACATCAGACTCATCTCATCAGTCTTTGGAGTGAAATAATGTCTTTAAACTCCAGTAGTTTCACTATTTTCCTTTATAGCTTGAACAATATTGTCACATACCAGCTTGATGAATGAGTGACGTGTCCATCCAAGTCTGACGCATCGAGTCGCTTGATTTAATCAAAGATGATCCAAAACCTTTTGTTTGAAGGGAATCCTTGAGATCCATAAATCCAGCATGTTGATTGATGAGGTATTCCTTTTAGTCCATGGGCTGGTTCCTTACTTGTTCCACAGGGTGTTTTTACTTGATCCACAGGTGGGTTTTTACTTGATTGTAGTGGCAATTGTTTGTCAAACCAAACATCCAATAAAATTCCAATAAGCCACTATAGGCACTGGGGTCACGTTTTCTTGACGCAGGCAAAAGAAGTGGAAGTCCAAACTTGTAGATGTTCAGTTGATTTATTTCCTATATTTTGTCACATTACAGAGTTCAAACTTTCCTTGCCCTGTTACCTCTCTTGCACTGGTAAAAACCCATAGGCCCCTAACCCAAATGCCTGCTGGTCCTTACCAGGCTCCTACAATTATAGAAAGTGGACCGCCCACATTTCTTCCTGTTTTACATAAAATAAAGAAAAAAAAATAATAATAAAACAACAAAAAATAGATGCACAAAAATGCAACAATTAACCTATAAATTAAGTCTGTAAATAATACAAAAAATATATAAGTTTAGGAATTAACACAATTCAAATGGATAAAGAAATAAAGAATAAATAGCTCCAACACTTGTATTGTCCTGAGCATGGGAAAAGAAACACAAGGGCTCCCTTTACACTCTGGAAGACTATGACATATTTTCCAAATTTGGATGAGCCAATTTTTTCCTTGCAAAATTATATCTTATACTATATAACCCCATTTAGTTATACAAGGGGCTTTAAGCACCAATAAAATTCCCTCAGTTATTTTTACGTCAAGTTTATTTCCACACTAATTGTTTGTTTTAGGCTTTAAATCATAGTGAGGGCCAACAATTAAATGCATATATAACACCTTATTTCCAGGACTTTAAACTGATTCTTAGAAACTGATAATGAATTACGTCTTTTTTTTTTAACCAATGCAGATTATTCTAGATTTGATTGGAAGATATAGAAGCCTTGGTGTAATAGATTCTGGAAATAAGGATATATAAGGGGATCCAGACGAAGGTTAGACAATCAGCCCAACCTACTACAGTTATTTAAATTTCAGAGCCTGGGAAAGTATTGAAATATAGGATGAAAAATGATCTGGAACCCTGTGATACATTTTTGTAGCTTAGCCTATTGAGGCTATATAAGGGATGCCGATATGTGGAAAGCAGGTGACAATCACTGTTTGACTACTAAATGTGCAGTTAAAGTAGGATCTGATGGAAGAAGAATACTTTAGAACCAAGGAACTGCCATTAATTGTGGGTTCCGCTTCTAAAGGTGTAATATGGATTCACCAAGCAGCTTCATTTCCCAGTCAGGAGTTATTGATGATACCCCTCTGAGTTCAGTATTCTTTTTACACCTGTATAGTGAGGAGTGCTCCGTCAGCCCTGTTTGGACAGCCTGTTAGTGTGCTCCGTGTGGTTTAATGTGGACTGTTTTTTAGCAGCCATTGTCTGATGATGTAGGGGCTGCCGTTTGGGCTTGGGCAACCTTCACGCTGAGCTTTATTCAGCCTTGTGATGTGGCTGTGTGAACTTTGCCAGGTATTCACAGTGGACGTCTGATACTACAATGGCACTGTCAAGAAGAGAAAGGATGCACTCTTCCAACCACAGCAAAATGAATATTAAAACTTGTGTGAAAGAAATATTTTAGAGATGCTTTAGTTAGCTTTAAAATCAGTTTAATTTCTTTCAACTTTTTAAACTCAACCCAAAACATTGTAACTTGTAGTTTTTATAACCTCTTTCTCACACATTAAAATACCACATTAAAGTGTGGTTTTCAAACATAAGTCGACCTGCTACCCAATAGCCAATACCCATTGGCTCCATTATGACTGGCAACAAAAAGCCATATTTAACCCCTCCCTGGAGAGCTGCATGGCCACTGTCTCACCGCAGCTGTTTTTCTGACTGTTTCAGAAATCACGAAAGTAAACAAAAGAGCAAAACATGTAAGGAAGGCAGGGCGTAATAAGTGTGCTTTATTGTTTTGCTCTTTTGTTACTCTGAACCCCTGACCAGTGCTGCGCCACGTTTGACGAATTGTTAGACTAGACGCAACTGTCACTGTGTGTTGCATTTAATGGTATCATGTAATTCAGTGGGTCAACACAGCTCTAGTGTTTGCCACAGCATGCCGATCAGAGCCGGGTTGTTTGACCCCAGGTAGACGCACATCAGTAAGCTGTTCCCACTGCCACTGAAACCAATTTTTCCTGGGTGGAAACTGGTTTTTCGGCCAGTGGGAAAGGGGTATATGATGGGTTTTCATTTAGTGAATGTAGATTTTTCAGTGAAATGATTAACTCGTAAATATTTAACAATGCATTTTCGGAATCAAGTGTTTTGTTGGCTATTCCATCCATTTCAAAACCAGATGGGGAATACAACCCATGCTTCATTAATGTACTTTTTTAAAGAATCATCAACATGTTTCAACATGTAATAAAGGCTAATTGGAGGTAGCCCTCCTTTGTAATTCTAATGTTTGGTGCAATCTTACAGTATCGTTCAAAGGAAACTTGGCCCTCATCATAATGCTACAGTACCACCACTGTGCTTGACAGTTGCTGCAGTGCTGACTTCAGCGATGGCCTGACAGCGGCTTTTTGGTGGCAATAAAAGTCTTGGTGCGACTTTCTAAAGGACTAGTACACATTTAGGATGGTTGACTACTCTACCCTGAAAAAGAACAGCTTGTATATGTTATTTAGAGCATCTATACTCATTGTAAGCGTATGCAAACCCTTTACTAGTGCTTAATACGTTGGCAACTAGTTAGGGTTTAAAGCAGTGGTTTCAAATCTAAGACCTCAGGCACTGTTGTCCTGAAACATTTAGATGTGTCCCTTGTCTTTAACACCTGAATGAACTGCTACACTGCTTTAATTAGATGCAGTATAGCTCTACAGAACTGTTAATGCAATACTATTTGCATTGCTTGCATTGCTGCAGAGAGGCATGTCAAGGTTGTAGTATACAAGCGAACAGAAGAAGGGGTAAACTGAAAGTTTGGTTATTTGGAGATGGGTTTCTTTTTTAATTACTCAGTTTTTCTGCAAAGGACCGGTTTCTCAAACAAATTTAAGTCTCTCCATTATGCTGCCACCACCATGCCTTACTGTTGGTGAGGTCCTCTCATTTTAAACCATACAGTTTCTCATCATTGACCCATCAAGGTTTTGAATTGAAACAATGTCTTTCCAGTGTATTAGTTCTATGATTGCTTATCAATCTTGATTAGTTCCTGAGCAAATGTTTGCCTCAAACTCCTATTTTTCATTTAATTTAACTAATGGCTCCACTGACTAAAATCAAATGCACCATGTTCTGATGAGGGACTCCGTTTAAATCGGCTGCCATAGATGTTGCAGAAGAAAACCGTGATGTATGTTGTTCCTGGATCCATGTGGAATACTGTACGTTCTTTTTTTTAACTTAAACCTTTGGGGTTCAAGTTATTGATATCAATGAATCTCAAGAAATACACAATTTCACATTCTGTGTTTAGGGTTTTCCTTTGCCTGGCCGTATGTTTAGCCTCCTTGCTCTCTTGGTCCAAAATAAGCAGAGGAAGTCATCAGACAAGATGCCAAACCTATCGGTATCTGATAGTAGGGACATTGACCTTCTCCTCCTCATATCTGATGTTGGTTTTTATCTGCCAGACAAATGTCAGAAATACCATTCCCCAAGCCCAATCACTCTGGCACCACTGCTCAGCTTCTCCCTCCATCCCCTCCCTCCCAATTGGATTGTGAACAGCAGAGCTGCAAGCGAAGACATCTGCAATACCACAGCTGTCAGTCAAA